TAATTTTAACAGCGTGTGGCTTAGAAATGACAGCAGTCTGAAGTTGTTTTCAGTTTTTTCACCTCACCCTGCACATTTTCGTCCGATTTGCCTTTTATTGTGCACCAAAACGTGTAATATCAGCCCAATTAATATGGAATTTTGCACATACGACCCAATTAAGGCTGGAAATAAGTCTGCCAAATATGATCGAAATCGGTTTAGATATAGCTATAGCTCCCATTCCCATGTTCATCCGATTTGTTATTTTTGTCCTCTGCAGCCGTAATATACGCTCTGCAACAACGATATTTAGAGAACTATATCAAATACAATTCAGAATTACCTTTGCTAAATTTTATCGAGATCAGTTCAGAGTTGGATATAGCTCCCTTATACATCTTAGTCCTAATTTTAAAATAAGAAATAGTCCATCCCAACTTAACACTATTTCTAACATTTTCTTTCATTATTTTACCTAATTTTCAATTATATTTAAATAACTCAAATTCTTATAAGCTTAATTGAATGTAGATTATGTTCTTGCTTCCAATTGATTATCAATAATGACTCCTATTATAAATATTATTATCAACTTTTCATGGCTAACTAAACATCAGCAAAGGACTATTAAAAAAATGTGTTTGACTTTAAATTTATGCATTTGCATATAAAAGAGCAAGACCATGCTAAAGGGAAGAGAGGGAGAAAAAAGGAAGGCAGGGAAACGGAATTTAATTTGGATAATATTTTAATAAATCCCATTTTTGCAATTTAAATTTTAATTCAATAAAAATTCAAACAAAAACGCAGAGGTTATGTGCATGCACATACACACATGTATTTACACACACATAAAAGCATGAAATATTAAAATCAAACGTAAACACATACACACATATATGCCATAACATAAACCGTCACACACACACACTTAAATGGACTTTCTAACAATTAATAATTTATCTAATGGATATCACATACATACAGACACAGTCATATACATAGCAACAGCAGGAACAACAACAAATCAATTTAACCTCACACACACACATTTACATACCTACATTTATGCAAACACATGCACAATGAAATGAACAATGATAAGAGATATTGGACAATTGTAGATGGAGAGAGAAATTCCAACAGGCCGGCAGACAAACAAGCTTACTGGCACACAGACGAATGGTCGGACAGACAGACGGACGGACAGACAGACAAATCAATACAATAAACATATTAAAACATACCACAATAAACACATAGCCCCAAACTCTCTTACAATACAAATGTATGCACACTTACACAGATACTCGCAAGCACCAGTCCTCTCTACGCAAAGGACTCTCTCACACACACATACACTCACATGCGTGCAGAGACATTCAATATTCAGAGACGCATAAACACATTAATGCAAGACATACCAAAATATTGGTGAACAATAAAAGCATTAAAATGACATAAAAATTCCACAAGCGAATACCGACACAAACACACACTCACAGCCACATTATATAATTTATAATGATAAATGAAAATCCATATATTACAACATTAAATATTACAAGCTCTAACGGCAAAAAAGTATGGGGAAAGAAAATGCAAAAACACACTCACAACACACACAGACACACACAAGCAAAATAAAGTAATAAAATTATGAATTATTGTATTTATAATAATAATTATTACATGAACTTATACATACATATACATAATTATATACATACATTATACATATATATATATGAAACAAAAAACAAATATATTATACATTATAAAAAGAAAAAAAAAACAAAATATATCTACATTTTAGTGGAACCATGTAAACTATTTTTAGAGCCTTGAAACAGCAGTGAAAACAATGAAAAACAAACAAATATATATATTAATAAATCCAGAAAATAATAACAACAACAAACAAAACATTAACAATAACAGAAAAAAAACAAGAAAATAAAAATATGTGTTTTTAATTGTCACCGGACTTTTGGGAGGGGCGACCAAGATTCTGGAAAGGTAAGTGGGTGGATGAGGGTTAATTGTTGAATTCTTATTTGAGACAACTTTTTTGTAAACCATGTCGTCTGTGGAATGGATATTTGAATATCTTTGAAGACTAATGACCGGCCGACCGTATGAAAAGTCATTAGCTATAGTTTATAAGGCTTGTCCTTTTATATGAATATGTAAATAAGGTAGGAAAGGAAATATTACATTTTCCAGATGGTGTACTGGAAGTAAGTGGAGACTAGATAATCAGTAATAAATAGTTGGATTAGTAGATTACCGATCACCGATATGTACGATTTTTTAGAACTATACACATTTCATAATGAAATATTCAGATATTCACTTCGCTTAGGATATTCACTTCGCTTAGGGTATATGGCTATTTTGAAAATTTGGAACTTTATTGGAGAAGGTACTAGAAGAAGCCGACCGATTTCCAATATTTTCACACCACATATAATTTGAGCAGAATTAATGAGATGTGTAAAGTTTGAAGGAAATCAGTGGGAAAAGTACCAGGAGAAATGGAGCCATGTACCCAGATGTGCAACGTTTAAATTAACACATATCGAGAGAGGCTTAAGGGGGAGATGCCAAATGAAGTGAAGTACTATATCCTATATTCACTCTTGATCAGAACTTTTCAGTTGAAAATGTACAAAATCTCACAAAAGAAACCGTTTCGAAATCGGCCGAGCCCCTGGGCTGAGATATTAGGAGTATAATGTGGGAAGTTTGGTGAGAAATTGTTATTCAGAATTTTAACCCTCTGATGTCGATTTTCGCACCTGACCTAAGTCTGAAACGAATATTTTGATTTACAAATTTTTAACCAAATCAGAAACTTCCTTCGAGATTCTCACAAGATATTTATTTTTTAAGTAATTTACCCGTTTGTTGGGGAGGTACCAGAAGTAATACGCGTTACTAATCATATCCAATGTATTTTTTTTTTTTTTTTTTTGAAAATCTTAATTTTTACCTTTGAAATTTTAGATGTAAGCTTCAAAGAGAGCTTTCATGTGGAGGTGTGTTGAATTACTTGCTGAAATTTATATTCGCCATTTTTATATCCTCCACCTTGAGAATGAGATATATCGGTCCACGTTTTGGTATAGTCCCCATATAACGGTACCTCCCAATATTTTTGATGATTTTTGCAACATTTTTTCACAGATTTGTCTGAAAATTGGTATTTGTAGGTCATAATATGTCCTAGTTCGTGTGGCGAAACCCTGTATATATAGGTCCACGCTTTGGTATAGCCCCCATATAACGGTACCTCCTGACATTCGGTATTTTAATGATTTTTGCCACATTTTTTCACAGATTTGTCTAAAAATTGGTATTTGTTGGTCATAATGGGTTCTAGCTCCGGTGGCGAAACATTGTATGTATAGGTACACGTTTTTGTATAGTCCCATATTGCGGTCCCTCCCGATATTCGGTATTTTGATGATTTTTGCTACAATTTCCTCGAATATGTCTAAAAGTTGGTATTTGTGGGTCATTCGATTTGGTCCAAACTTGGTACATCGTAGTTTTATTATCGAACTTAGGTCGACTTCGGAGATGCAAAATATTTTACTGCAAAAAAAGAGAAAGGATAATCGGAATTGGCTAAAACTTAGCAAATCCTAATATTTGCATCAATGCTAATAACCAAAACGATAATAAAATCGGAAAAAAGTATGCGGTTCTTTTCATATTTCACCCATCCTATTATTTTTACTAACACAAGATCTGCTGTGAAGATGGGATGTATTGGTACAAAGATGGTAGAGATCGCACCATTTCTTCTGGTGCTTCCCCACATAGGGTTCAAGATTTTAAAGAACGAAACGCTCAAAGAAAATAAGATAAGCATTCTACTCTCTCAATTTTCACACTCACATGCATTTTTGCTTACACAAGATCTGTTATTATCTACATTAGATGAAGTTTGAAAAATGTCACACATCTCATGTTAAGTGAAGAATGTTTCCAATATAGTCCAAAGTTGGTACGTCGCAATACTTATATCATATTTATTTAGGTCCGATACGAATTGGACAAATTTGGTCCATTCTTTCGAAACCTACCACATAGAGGGCCAACATTAAAATTTTATTATCAACAAAGATAAAATAAGAGAGAATCTATGTGCATATTGCAGAATTTTCATTTTCATCAGGTTCTAGTATATATGGTCTTAAAGGTTCTAGTATACAACAACGTCCTTGATTTTTAAGCATTTGAGAGCTTCGATGCAGTTACGTTTAAATTTTTTGAGAGCTGAGAAAACATAAAATACCCCTTCGTGAATAAACACTACATATGAAATCTGATTTTGGTAGTAGTTTCCAGGTGATTACTATTTGTCTAATGGAATAAAGAAAAATTACTTTTTTCCAAAAAATCTTACATTCTTTCTTTTCGAACATTCGGAATCAAGTGGACCGAGAAAGTCCATTTAGAGCTTTGAACTAAATCTAAGACAATATGGAATCTACAACATCGAGGCTCATATCGATAATTTTCTAATAAAACTCTTTTTGGAATTATTATTTTGGAATATTTTTGTATTATTCAATCGCCTCTTAAGAAGAAAGTCCATTAAATTTCTAATAAATTATACAAAAAATGTAGGGTCATTTACAAAGCATTTGTTGTATCCCAATAATAGCTTAAAATCACAATATTTTTTATGTTAACCTCTATGAACCTCCAGTTTGAGAATCTCTGATTCAAAAGCGTAGTTTAAAATATTTTTATTTCCTTTAAACACATCTTTCTCAAATGAACTTCTCTGTCCATTGGCTACCGATTAATGAGATAAAAACACTGAACACCGTCCACAGCAAAAGGGAGAGAACAAACAGAATATGATTCTGCTGCCGAAGGGGGGCAATACCCCTTCACCTTACAATTTCTAGTAAGTCACCAGAGAATGAGCATCATTAACAACATCACCTGTATTGGCGATATAAGAAGCGTTCTAGAGACAAAATGATCTTCAGTTTGTTAACAACACTCGGAGATTTAAGACATAAAAATTAAAAGTCTCAAAATAAAAAGTAACATAAAAAACGAAATTAAAACCAACAAAAAATATATAAATAACGACCACGAAACCCATAAACGCCGACAACCAAAGAAACCCAAAATGAACAAATTCATTTACTTTTCACTGATCTTTGCCACTATTTGCACCATTGTTGTTGGTAAGTAGACGAAATCGATTTCCTAATGATCTCACCGCCACTTTCTATTAACTTGGGCGAAATTGTGTTAGAATCACAAACTATGGCTTATTTGTACAACAAATTACTAGCATCGTCTTTTATGGAGATTCACAAAAACAATTCTATTGTTTGACCCTTTTGTCTGGTGAGGTGAACAAAACGCCGGTGTATGACCGACAGACAGACCGAGAGCTTTTGTGTGCGGTTTGGAAACTGGTTCTGTCGTTTATTGTTAGGCTTCAGTTAATTCAGCCAATGACCACGACCAAGACCAACTATCAGATGGAAATGATGATCATTGCGATAGTGTTTCAATGAACGTGACAAATAGACGGACAATGTTTCAAACCTGTTGCAAATAATTGTGGATTTATTTGTTGGCTTCTCAAAAATAGAAAAATTATTTATATTTTATTTTGAAAATAATATAATAATGCATTGCAAACGCTTTAAAATTCGTGAGCTGTTTGTGTCCAACAATTCAGCACCATCTGATGATCATAATAACTATTTTCCTACATTATGTGTTTGAGTTATTATTCGGTTTCCGGGTAATTATGGAAGAACCCTTTAAAATATTTTGAAAAAAATAATCGCTTGATTTTGGGATATTTGTATGAGGTCTGTAAATATGAAGCCAGGTTTATGCATTGGTTTGTTTCAGCACTACTGATATCAATTTTGCCGAAAGCGTCGTTTCACCCAAATTTGTCCTTTCTACTTCATCAAATTCATTTATGTAGATTGATATTGATATATATTGATATCGATTAAGATAGGTTTGAACAGTGGGTCTTTGATCTTCAGATTGGAATTTAATAAATAGAGGAATCTCAGGCGGTTAAATTTTTTCATGTTTTTTTAATTTTATTGAATAAAAGCAAAAAATGTCGGAAATAGCATCAAATTTTAGAATAAGTTTAGATTTTTTCGAATTGGTCCCCTTTGGCACAAATTATGGCCTTCAAACGGCCAACCGTCACACGCTGCCCGAATGTTGCTCTGTGGTATTTTGGCCCATTTCCGGCGAAGCGCTTGCTTGAGGTGATCGACACTTTGGAATTTTTTTGTGCCAACCTTGCTTTCCAAAATACTCCAGACAAAATAGTCCAAGGGACTGATATCCAGAGATTCTGGTGGCCATTATGCACTGGAAATGAAGCGAGGAACCTCATTTTGTAACCATTCTTGGGTGGCGCGTGCTGAGTGCGATGATGCTGCGTGCTGTTGGAATGTCCAAGGTCTGCGGCCAAAATGTTTGCGTGCCCAAGGCTGTAATACACCCTCCAGAATATTTTCCCAATAAGATTCAGCATTTATTCTGATGCCACGGTCGATTAATACGAGCGGTGAGCGACCATTGGCACATCATACCATGGCCGGCGCTTGAGTTCTGGTGTCCAACCGAAGGTGCACCTCTTTGGCAAGTAAACACGATCAATTTATTTGTTTACAAACTGATGGACAACGAATGTTTTCTCATCGGATGTTGCGGAAAAAGATTATAGCTCAAAATTCACCCTATAAAAATAACTCCCAAACACCTTTACACGAATTCCACCTAAAGCGTGAATAATTTATAAAAATATTTAAATATTTAAAAACATTTATTTTCTCGCTTTTAAATAGCCCATCTCCTTTCAGTCTACCACATTCGTCTTTAAAAGTTTTTATTGGCTTTTTCAACTGAATTTACCGATTTGGCATCCAATAACGGCTGATTAAATAGTTTTGATTGTTTGCCAATTTTTTCCATTGGCATTGTCGTTGTTGTTGCCATTACGTGTTCTACTCGCCAGAAAGCAGGCAGACAGGCAGGTAGGCAAGCAATCAAATCAAAAATGTCAAATAAAAGAAATACTCGGTAATTATAGCCAACAAACTTTCTTTTCAGATTACCCATGTATGTCTAATAACAGACGTCGTGGAATATTGAAATGGGTCCAATATGGAATTTTCAAATAATATAGTACAGATTTTTCGGTTTTTTCTATTTAAAGTTTTAAAGAAATTTCGAAATGCTAGCAAAGTTAAGTGTGCAAGAATGTTTTTTTTGTCAAGAATTTGATTTTCAAGTTTTTTGTCATTTTATTTTATATTCAGACTAATGTGAATATTATTAATATTCATAAATAGAAACTTTAACATAATTTGAAGAATTATTTTCTTTATGTGTCATATGGTCAAACATGGTCTTAATGAGATTTGTTATGTATGTATATAAGAAAGTTGCCTTGAAAGACGAAATGGCCCAAAACAAGTTAAAAAGTATAGATCGGATTTGCAGACAGATACATACCCTCAGCCAATGCTCGATTATTTAAATATATTGTGAGTTCTGTTATTATTATTCAAATGTTTGACCCTCTATGGAGTATAAAAGGTGGGATGAAAAAGCTGCAACCAACTTGAGACTGCTGTCATTTCTAAGCCACTCCTCCGACAGCTGTTAAAATTATTCCAGTGACAGTTCATTATATTGTTTACAAGCGTACAAAAGCATTTTGGTGAGAAAAGAAAAAAACTGTTTGGCTGGGAAACCACAAGTGGCTATCGTTAGAGCTCTCCAGCATTTAAATGTGAATAAATCGTTTGTGTCTCGTGTCATCGCTTGTTACCGTGATATTGGTAGCATAGCCCGACGTCAAGGAAGTGAACGGAAGAAAACAACAACATCAGCAGAAATGGTTCGAAAAGTAAAGAAGCGACTTGATCGAATGGGTCGTGAGCTGCACATGTCGCAATATTACATTCGGCAAAATTTTGAAAAATAAGCTCGGGGTAAAGCCAATGAAATTCCAAAAAGTGCAAGAACTTAAACCGCAACAGAAAGAAAATGGACTCAAAAGAGCTAAAGAGTCGCTACGCTTGGCCGAAAGTGGTGAACTGCCGAATTTGGTTTTCTCCGATGAGAAAACATTCGTTGTCCAGCAGTTTGTAAACAAACAAACTGATCGTGTTTAATTGCCAAAAAGGTCAGCTGAAAATGTGCACCTTCGGTTGGCCACCAGAACTCAAGCGCCGGCCATTGTGATGGTGTGGGCCGCCATAAAAACCAATAGTCGCTCTTCGCTCATATTAATCGACTGTGGCCGGATATTATCGCAAAAATATTCTGGAGGGTGTATTAAAGCCTTGGGCACGCAAACATTTTGGCCGCAAGCCTTGGACATTCCACCAGGACTCAGCAAAATCGCACTCAGCACGCGCCACCCAACAATGGTTACAAAATGAGGTTCCTCACTTCGCGCACAGTGGCCACCAAAATCTCCGGATACCAATCCGTTGGACTATTGTGTCTGAAGTATTTTGGAAAGCTAGGTTGGCACTAAAAAAATACCAAAATACAGCACAGCAACATTCGGGCAGCGTGTGGCGGTTTGAATGGGAAATGGCCATTTGAAGGCCATAATTCGTGCCAAAGGTGACCTTTTGTTGGTGGGTATCAGAAAGATATCCGATATTGCCCATATCCAAACTCGATCTAAGTTTAATAATAATATTAAGATGTACCAAGTTTGGACCAAATCGGAGTTTAGTGCACACCAGCCAGACAGACAAACGGGTGGACATCGCTGGATCGACTCCAAATGGCCTGAAAGGGATTAGGTCCAAAGAGACCTAGGGTCTAAAATCGTTATTCCGATCGAAGCACGTTTAGGCCGTATCAAATGATATATACCCTCTCGAGCTATATGGCTGAGGGTATAACTAGCCATATGACTGAGGGTATAAAAGGGATGAATCATTGCCTAATGTGTGGATTTTTTTTAAGTACTAAATATTGTAACAGTTGTACTTGTAGTGTAATTGTTATAAATAAAGAGTATAGAATTCCACTAAAAGTAATAATTATGGTTCCACTGGAATTCTAAGAAGGGGTTGAGCAAAGCTTCTACAATATGTGTACTTTGTCAAGACTCAGATGAATATTTCAAAGTTTTGCAAATAGAATGGTAAATTAATATATCCCCCGTTACAATGTAAATGAATTTCCCTCTCCCCTGAAAAAATATTACCCACTCTAATGTGCAATCGTACGAACCTTTCATCTATATTTTCTTTATTGCTAATCTCAAAAATAAATTTGTATGTCATAAATCCTTTACGTTTCAATTACGAAATATTCTATGAATTCTTGGAGGCACATACATATTTGCTTTCACCTCAATCTACATGCATACATACATATACACAGATAGAAGATGTGTACATACACACACATGTACATCCACATAAATATTGTTCATAAATATTTCCTTATTTATTTTGCATGATGATTGTGTTGTTGTTTTTGTTTTCATTACTTATATTTTCATAGTAAGAAATGAATGTACCTTAAGGCCATTACTTTATTGTTAACTCCCTCTTTACCACTCTCTTTACATATAAGCTTCTTTGAACGATGCCCTACAGATGGGTTTATGAGTCATTATGGCAATAGATTTTTGTGGTGACATGAAAAAAACAGCGCACTAATTGCTAAAAATTAATACTTGTGGTTCTGAAAATAATTTTCAGTTTTTTAATAAATAATTTGTTTTAATAAATTTATGTTAAGGTCAGGATTAGATTCGATATTTTGAAATAAATATTTTTAAATCTTTTTTGAAACAAACACTTTATTATGATAAATATCTATTTTATCATTTTAAAACTAGATTTATTCCAAAATTTTTGCTTCTGTAGGGTATTGATGGTGTCGTCAACGAGGTCAACGAGTACCTCTCCCGATAAAGCCTTCTGTTGCTTCAAGTGTTTATTTTTATTATGCATGGACAGCAACAAAAGAGGAACATGGTATTTCGTCTTTTTCTTCCCCCCTTCTCACCCCATTCTTTTTTTTTTCCTTCATTCCTTTATTTTGTTTGTTGTTTAAGTCAAATCAAAATATCGTAATTATTATTTGTTTAACAAATTCATATGTATTTGTTGTTATTATCTTTGTGTCAGTAGGTGGGTGTGTGTGTGTGTGTGTTCACTGCACACATACATCTGACATCAAGTTAAGCTCTTCCACGAAGTTCATATGAATTATGTACACGAACAGCCAAACAAAATAAAGACCATCATTCACAATCTATTTGGCCGTCTTCAACAACAGCAGCAACAACAACAACGACGTATGATGTCATTAATAATTAATAAATCAATCAGACTTCAGGGGGGTAAATACAAAAACAACAGAAAAACCAACAACAATTCACCGTCTACAGGAAAAAGAACAAATTTGTTGTTATTTGGCAAAATGATTGTTGTTTGCATTGTTGCTGTTGTAGCGCAATGTTGACGTTATGTTTTCTCGTTTATTGGAAACAAATAATTGGCTATGTGTGTGTGTGTGTGGGTGAGTGACTGAGTGAATGAATGAGTATGTGAAGGAGTGAACCGAGGACTCAAATTAGCCAATTTGGGGAAATTGGTTCATAACACACATTGTGTTGGAAAATATAAGCCCTTAAAGAATCAATTTCAATTGAGTTGATCTACAATTTGGTGATTTCGGGTTCTCCAAAGTACATTATTTATATTTGTGTATGTGGATGGTATCTTGATTGTCAGACAAGTGCTTCGGGCTAGCACTGCCAGTTTTGGTAAAGTATTTAACAATTTAGCCAATTTTAATATTTCTATGCATCTTTTGTATATATGCGGTCTTGATTATATATAGGCACTCTTGGAAATATTTTAGAAATGTCAATAATTTTTTTTTTTTTGAAAATTTCGACCTTTTGTGGGGGAGGTACCAGGAGGAGTAGGCCGATATATTCCATCTTAACTCCGGATCTTGGTTAATGGAAATATTGGGATGTGTGAAATTTGAAATATTTCATAATGTTGATCCTTTGTGGGAGACGTACAGGGTTGCCCATATTCGACGACCCATGACTCTTTGGGCCCATTCCAATCGACGAGGCTTGTCCGCAGGCAACATTCTTTGCGTCAATTGAATTTTGTACGGGAACAAATGCAAATCAATGCGAATAATCCGTTGTAAAGTGGACCGAGCCATGCCCAACTGCTGAGAACGGCGTTTTTGGGATGTTCTTGGGGACCTCTCAACACTGGCTCGTACGGCAGCGATATTCTCGGCCGATCGCCTTGGTCGACTTTTATATGGCCTCTTCGGATTAGAAAGCCTTACCAATCGAATTTTTCGTATAAACGCTTAATGGTGTTCTTAGAAGGCGCACTTCTCACATTTTTTAATGTTTTAAAAGCACTTTGATTTTTCACAATTGACTTCTTCTGTTGAATGTAAATTTCAGAGCGCTCACGTGGCGTGTATTGGTTCATGGTAAAAATCTGCTTGGATTGACGCTTAAAACGCGGTATGTCATTAAGCGATGTGACATCTCTGTCAAAAGTTATGGCGTTGCCAGATGGGTTGTACTTGATGGAGTTTACCGATATCATCCATTTTGACCTAGAACTGACGCAAATATTAGGATTTGCTAAGTTGGAGCAAAATCGGATCATCGCTTCTCTTTCTGTGCAAAAAAAAATATTTGTTGAAAATTTCGGCCTTTTACCAGAAGGAGTGGATTGATATTGCCCATATCCGAACTCGATCTAAGTTTGACAAAAATAGTACTATGTGCCAAGTTTGTCCCAAATCGGATACACCCTTCGAGAGTTATCGTGCGCACCAGCCAAACAGACATACGGACGGACATCGCTAGATCGACTCCAAATGTCTCGAAACGGATTTGGTTCAAGTAGACCTAGGGTATAAAACCGTTATTTCGACTAGGCACGTTTTGGCCGTATCAAATAATATATATACCCTCTCTAGCCATGTGGCTGAGGGTATAAAAATACGTAAAACCGTTTAATTTCTTTAAATCGAATGTTACCGTTAAATCTTCAGATTTTACATTATTTTTTACACATTATGAAGATTTCCTAAAAAATTCAGATCGATTAGTTGTATAGAAATAATTTTGTCCCACCTTCCCATACATGTGGGACCTCAATCGAAGCGAGATCTTCTGTATAGGTATGAGTCTTAAAATAGTCTAAAGCCATTAAATCGAACAATCTAGGCTGCCAATTGATCGAATTGAGTTTACCCTCTTGCATTTGGGATAAAAAAGATGGATGTCATCTCACGGCTCACCATTCACAGTTACGATTCGCAGCATCTTTGAAGAAGTATAGCAACCAAATTGTGACTTTTCCGGATTCATTGGTAGTTTGTGCAATTCTTCGACTTCCAGAATTGGCAATTCTGCCATTCACACATTTTTCAACAGAGAACGCAGCTTGATAATAAAATTCAATGATTTGCAGGGGTTTTCGTTTGTTTGAGAATTCATGGTTAAGTTTGCTTGACAGTGAAACAAAACAAGATAAGCTGGTGTCAAAATGATAATAGTAAAAATTCACCCTTTAATGTGTAAAATGAGTATTTCTAGAAGTTTCAAACGGCATGACAAATTTAATATATGTTTTAATGTATGGTGGAACGTAAAACCAAACAATCATGGCGCCCAATCAAAATTTGCACAACTAGAGATATAACTGAATTTCTTGCTCCGAAAAAAAATTGTCTGTTTAATCCTAAATTGGTCGAGTTACATATCCTTCATTTGTGCCAGATATCAGGTAGAGCTTAGAAATACCTCTGCCAAATTCTAACGAGATCGGTTCAAATCTAGGTATGGCTCCAAGACCTATCTTCAAACGATTTCTCATTTATAGTGCATCCAATGGATAATATGAACCCAAGTTGAACGTATTTTGCACAAATATGACATTTGGCCTCGATCAAATTAGGTGGACATCGATTTATAGTTGGATATACCTGCTTTATATTAGTCCTTCTGATTTCAAATTATATCTGCTCCAAAGCGTCCTGTATATGAGGTATCATACAGTCGGCACCGCCAGACTTATGGCCTTGCCTGAATGGTTTCTTTATTTAAGTAGCGCACTAACTGACTGAATCCAAAGTAACTAGCCAATGCCACCAACTGACTGGGATTTTTCAAAATTTTGAAAACAATCTAAATATCAAGCAAATATTAGAACCAAGGCTACAAACTAAAACAATAACTAAGGCAAATAAACTAACTTCCGATAGATAAACGACTGAGTCATACAGCAAAATTATAAAAAAATAGCCATTTTCAAAATAATTATGAATCCCCCGATTATTCAAAAGTAGCTATAAATGTATTTTGAATTTAACTCTGACTTACCGCAACTTAGATTGACGAATATTATGTAAATAAATCTGAAACTAGGTAAATGTTCGTCCTTAAAATTACCCCCACTCTTGCTCTGTCCTATCTCTATATATGTATAGAACTTTATTTAACAATCAAATAACTGAAATGAACAACAGCAACATTGACTAAGCTGAGTATTTTAGATATTCATGTTATTATTTTTTTATTTTTCACTAATTCTTAGCGGCGCCCTATCAAGAGCTACCACCCAGAAAGGGGCATGTTCCCGTCTATATTAGAGTTGGCGATCAACCTCTGTCGGAAGTTAATCCAAAATTGATTGAAGCTTTCCATGAAGATGAATCACCTAAAGCTGCACTTGAGGTAATATGATAAATATATTCACAAATAACATCTTCATATATGTGTGTATGCATGTATGTATGTTTATTAATAATTTTGTAAACTAAACAATAGGACAAAACACCAGAAGTCGTGGTGCCCGAAACACACGAAGAGGCAGCGGCCGAGGCAACAGAGAACAAAGATGAGATCACAAATGCGGATGAGGTCAATGAGGTAGACGAAGCTACAGCATCTGACATTGCAGAATTCGATGTGAAACCAGAAAACCAAGACGAACCAGCCAAAGAAGAGGAGATCAAGAACGAAAGCGCAGAAAACAAAGATGAATAATATACTATAATTAACATATTTAAACAAATATTCGAATAAAAGTATTTATAAATTATTTTCTACAAAAAAAATCTCCTCACCTTGCCTAAGAACCATTTGTTTTACAAATTATTGTTTTAAACAATTTCAAAGTAATTAAAATTATTTTTCTTAGCGAAAACAAAACACAAAATGCCATTAATTTTATTAACTCAGATATTTTGCCTTAAATTCGCTGATGAGGGTGTTGACCAAATGAAGGAAAAGCGTGAAATTAACACGTAAGTTGGATATTTTAAGAGAAAACCCTCTTCAATTTGAGGCATAAAACATCAACCATTCCACCAACCCACCACCACCCACCAACAACAATAATAATATTACACAAAAATATGCAAAATTAAGAAAACCTTGATTTTCTTCGGCTGTTGTTTGGTTCGTAAAAAAACTCCATAAGACCACCCCCCGTGGGGGCCATTGTTCCGCTCTGTTGGCGGAAGTTGTTTAGAGGCGCAGATTTCCAGGTGTGGTGCGAAAAAACAACAAACTTAAAAATAACAAGAAACTTTTTTGGTGACTCATGATGTTTAATGCCAATATTAGCGGAACCCACGAAAAAAATCGTATCGAGAAAAAACACTTTGTGGAAAAGAAAACTTTTTTAATTGATTAAATTTTTCCATTTAAGAGGTGAAAATAACTTTTCTATCGGCATTGATTTTTGGGTGGGGAACAAGAAAAAATGTGATTTAGAAAATTAAACCAACAGATTGCAAACTGCTCAAAAATGGTACAGTAAGATTTAAGGAGAAAGGCTCGAGATATTGTCAACAACAATTTTAGGCTCAAAGGTCAAATTTGACTCTTTTGTTATGTGGACTGCATTTACTCTTAATTCGCTCCAATATTCAAGAAATGAAACAAATTACTTATCGATTTATACAGAATTTTATGCAAATAACTTAACTAATCATTATTACCCCTGTCTCGTTTTAGCCAAAAAAAAGCTTGTTTTCAAAAGAATATTTCAAATTCTAAGGTAACAGCTAAATGAATATTTCTAAAGTAGCCATTGCCTATCAAAGCTAACAAAATAAACAATTAAGCGTAAAAAGGTTGAAAGTGAAACAACCAGGGACAGAAGTGAGTAATTCATATTCAACTGAATAACCAAACCCCCTTCAACCAAGCCCAACAACCCTTTTCAATGCCAGCGAAAATATGCAAAGATTTCCATTTTTCTTTTGCCTATGGAAATCTTAGTGGACATTTTAATATATACAAGGAGAAGTGAATTGAAATCAAATGTCATCGACGACAACATTTTATAAATAAGTTCTTTTGTAAAAGAAGAGATTTTGACCGAATATAAAAACAATATAAACAAGAAAAAAAGCGTGTTAGTTCGGCCGGGCAGAAATTTTAGTACCCTCGATTTTGAAAGGAACTTGAAAATGTTCATACCGATACTTCAAATACGAAATTTAAAACAATTCTAGTGAATAAGTGTAAGTGTAACTAATATCATCAAATTTGAACCAATAACCAACAAATGATCAAAATTCCGAATATCGGTAGATACCGTTATATGGGGGCGAAGACCTGGACCTGCATGGACAATTTCCCGTCATAGACTGAAGTACATACTACAAACTTTAAATACGAAACAATTCCGGTAAATAACGTCGCTAAAATCATGAAAATATCGAATATACTTACACGGAGCTATAGTTAAACTTGGACCTTGTCTGATTCTCTTCCAGTGGATAAAGTATTCAGGAGGATCCCCTCATTTGGGTTTTCAAACAATTCCATTCAAAAATGATCAAAATACCGTTATATGGGAGTTATACGATATTGTGGTTGCAACACACGGGCGGACGGACAGGGCTAATTCGTCTTAGAATTTTATGCTGATCAAGAATATGTTATTATTTCGAGGAGTTACAAACGAAATACGAACTTAATATTCCCTCCATACAATGTATGGTGGAGGTTATGATTGTAACTAACGGAAGTTAGAAAGTTTCACTAGATGTTCCACCAGATATACAGCCTCAAGATGTATACAGGGTGAAATTAAAAAACTGCAACCGACTTAAGACTGCTGTCATTTCTAAGCCACTGGTCCGACAGCTGTTAAAATTATTCCAGTGACAGCTCATTCTATTGTTTATAAGCGTACAAAAGCATTTTCTTGATAATTTTCCAGAAAAATAGTTATTCGTGATTGAATTCAAACGCGATAGTGTGATTTCTTTATATTTGTCCAGCATTTAAATGTGAATAAATCTTTTGTGTCTCGTATCATCACCTAAAGAGTTGCTTCGAAAGTGGTGTACTGCCGAATTTGGTTTTTTCCGAAGAAAAAACATTCGTTGTCCAGCAGTTTGTGAACAAACAAAATGATCGTGTTTACTTGCCAAAGAGGTCAGCTGAAAATGTACACCTTCGGTTGGCCACCAGAACTCAAGCGCCGGCCATGGTATGGGTCGCCATAACAGCCGATGGTCGCTCTCTGCTCGTATTAATCGACCGTGGCATCAGGACTCAGCATGCGCCACCCAAGAATGGTCACAAAATGAGGTTCCTCGCTTCATTTCCAGCCCACAATGGCCACCAAAATCTCCGAATACCAATCCTTTGGACTATTGTGTCTGGAATATTTTGGAAAGCAAGGTTGACACTAAAAAATACCAAAGTGTCGACCACCTCAAGCAACCGCTTCACCGGAAATGGGCCAAAATACCGCAGAGCAACATTCGGGCAGCTTGTGACGGTTTCATTGGCCGTTTGAAGGCCATAATTTATGCCGAAGGTGACCAATTCAAACAAATCTAAACTTGTTCTAAAATTTGATGCTATTTCCGACATTTTTTTGCTTTCATTCAAAAAATTAAAAAAAAAGGAAAAATAATGGCTTTTGACTTTGTTGCAGTTTTTTATCTCACACTGTATGCAAGCAAATATCTAGAAACCTATCCTGATATGGCAAATCGTCATATCTTGTCGTGATCATGCCGTCGGATCTTGTATGTATAAGACGAAACGTCTATCTCATCGCATTTATAATCTTCTTCAATTTGAGGAAAATAATTATATATTTATTCCAGTGACGCAGGAGTTAGTTAAAGCTGTGTATGCACGTCGAAGGATAGAACATTCCAACATTCTACAACATGTTTAACTCGTCTACCACATTGATCCCACTTAATCACATAAAAATTCCAACGTAACGCAATTTTTTCAAATTCTTTATTCTATCGATTTATCTACGTTCAAACAGTCGTAACTATTTAACAAAACAACAAATCTTCCGAAATTGCATTAAAAGTCCAATTTAAAACACACTTCGCCGCAATGGCTTTTTCGCGGAACCCCTTTATTGGGTTTAGCTAAGAATTCTAATTAGGAACATGTGTTCGGCACAATCACCAATCGCATTACTTACACACATCGGCCGCTGGAACATCCAAACCAAGCTAAACCAAACGAAACCAGTAAGGAAAGCTCAAAAGTCGGGCGGGGCCGACTATATGATACCCTACACCACTATGCATATTTAGTAGAGCTCTCGTAAAAAGGTTTATACAGTTCATTTCAGAGCTCTATGAGATATTTGGTACAAAATCAAAATCTATCTAATTCTATCGTGCATTTTACGAACTATAGCTATCTCTGAACCGGGTTTCTCCAAATTTTACGTATTAGCTTCTAGACTGGTGATTTGGGCTGATATTGACCATTTAGTGCACATTTAACCCGAAATCGGATGAAGATATATATGGGAGCTATATCCAAATCTGAACCGATTTCGATAAAATTTAAAACAGCTATTCCTGTGCTCCATCTAAAACCTGGTACCAAATATCACGGTTGTGGAGTGAATATTACGAATGTATGGGACTAAAACTCTAAATCGGATGAAACATATATATGGTTGCTATATCTATATCTGAACCGATTTTCACTAAATTTGATATACTTGCTTCTAGGCTGAATTTGGTCCGATATACTAAAATTCAGTCCATTTGAACTTATATCGGCCATTTGGTGCACAATTAACCCGAAATCGGATGAAGATATATATGGGAGCTATATCCAAATCTGAACCGATTTCGATAAAATTACAAAAAGCTATTTCTGGGCTGTGTCTTATATCTGGTACCAAATATCATTCTTGTGGAGTGCATATTACGAATGTGAGAGGCTTAAACACCAAATCGGATGAAAGATATATATGGGAGCTATAGCTATATCTGAACCGATTTTCTCGAAATTTGATATACTTGCTTCTAGGCCGAACTCGGTTGGGTGTGCCAAAATTCAGGTGATTTGGACTGATAGTGGACATTTGGTGCACATTTAACCCGAAATCGGATGAAGATATATATAGGAGCTATAGTTGTTTCTGAACCGATTTTCTCCAAATTTGTTGTATTTGCTTTAAGGCTAATCTCGGTCACATGTGCCAAAATTCGGGCCATTTGGGCTGATATTGGCCATTTGGTGGTCAATTAACCCGAAATCGGATGAAGATATATATGGGAGCTATATCCAAATCTGAACCGATTTCGATAAAATTTAAAACAGCTATTTCTGTGCTCCATCTAATACCTGGTACCAAATATCACGGTTGTGGAGTGCATAGTAGGAATGTGAGGGACTTAAAGATCAAATCGGATGAAAGATATATATGGGAGCCATAGCTATATCTGAACCGATTTTCCCCAAATTTGATATACTTGCTTCTAGACCGAACTCGGTGGGGTGTGCCAAAATTCAGGTAATTTGGACTGATAGTGGATATTTGGTGCACATTTAACCCGAAATCGGATGAAGATATATATGGGAGCTATATCTAAATTTGATCCGATTCTCACCAATTTCAATAGGGTTCGTCCTTGGGCCAAAAAAATATTGTTTGGAAAATTTCATCTCAATCGGATAATAAATGCGACCTGCATTTTGTTCACAAGAATACATGGACAGACGGACGGACGGACGGACGGACGGACGGACGGACAGACGGACTGACATGCATAAATCGACTCAGAAAGTGATTCTATGAAGGTTCTCAAAAGTAACTATGGGTCTATCTCGTTTCCTTCTCCATGTTACAAACAAATGCACAAAGACATAATACCCTTACCACTATGTGGTGTAGGGTATAA